CCGGGGGTCCCCGCTGGGGACGCTCCGAGGGTCAGGATGGGAGGGGGACACGGGGGAGGCTTCGGGGGCCCCATTTGGGGAAGGTTCCGGGGGTCCCGGACACGGGGGGCGACTCCACAATTCAGAGGAAGCTCCGAGAGTCTCCGGGCGGGGTCGGGATTTGGGGAAGGTTCCGGGGGTCCCGGGGGCGAGGGTTTCAATCCGGGGGTCCCGGGGGAGGAGATTTCAGTTCGGGGGACAATCGGGGGGTCCCAGACATGGAGGGTTTCAATCCGGGGGTCCCGGGAGCGGGGGGTTTCAATTCGGGTTTCAATCCGGGGGTCCCGGGAGCGGGGGGTTTCAATTCGGGTTTCAATCCGGGGGTCCCGGGGGTGCGACCCTCACCTCGTAGAGCTCGTCCCAGGTGGGGTTGAGGTTGTCGCCGATGACGCGGCTGGTGGCCGCCTGTGTCCCCACGCGCAGCACGGCRTAGGGGTCGGAGCGACCCTGCACCAGCCCCCCCAGGAACCGATCCTTGCAGCGCAGCTCCCGAGCCCCGCGCAGGTGAACCCGCACCACGCCCTGGGAGCGGAGGGGTTAACGGGTGAGACCCCCGGGACCCCCTTTCTGAAACCCCAAAATGGGGTCAGAGCGGTGATACCCCCGGGACCCCCAAAATGTCACCGTTACCCCCGCAGGTGAACGCGCGCCACGCCCTGGGAGCGGAGGGGTTAACGGGTGAGACCCCCGGGATCCCCTTTCTGAAACCCCAAAATGGGGTCAGAGCGGTGAGACTCCCGGGACCCCCAAAATGTCACCGTTACCCCCGCAGGTGAACCTGCACCACGCCCTGGGAGCGGAGGGGTTAATGGGTGAGAGCCCCGGGACCCCCTTTCTGAAACCCCAAAATGGGGTCAGAGCGGTGAGACCCTCGGGACCCCCGGAAATCCCGGTGAAAATGGCGAAATTCCAGGGAAAATTGGGAGACTGCTCTCAAAATCAGGAAATCCCGGTGAAAAACCAGGAGATTGCGCAGTGCCACCCCCGGGACCCCTCCCCACACCCCCGGGACCCCCGGAATGTACCCGCGGCAGGGGCCAGCGCAGTGAGGGGACCCCCGGGACCCCTCCCCACACCCCCGGGACCCCCGGAATGTCCCCGTACCCGCGGGAGGGGACAGCGCAGTGACACCCCCGGGACCCCCGAGATCCACGGGACCCCTCCCCACACCCCCGGGACCCCCGGAATGTCCCCTTACCCGCGGGAGGGGACAGCGCAGTGACACCCCCGGGACCCCCAGGACCTCCGGGACCCCTCCCCACACCTCGGGACCCCCGGAATGTCCCCGGGACCCCCGGAATGTACCCTTGGCAGGGGCCAGCGCAGCTGCGCAGCCTCGGGCAGGTCCGGCAGCAGCGGCACCAGGAGGCGGTTGGGGAGAACCAGGAAGGACGAGATGGAATCCATGATGAGAGTGTCCGACAGAGAGCTGGGGGCACCGGGGGACACCGGGGGGGAACGGTCAGTGAGGGTCATCATGGGGG